GGGGGGGGGGGGGGGGGGGTGGGGGGGGCGTAAGGGGCGTGCGAATACTGCAAAACCGCACCGAATTCCGTGTAAAGACCGCATATAATAACATAAGAAAACCGCAAGCCGCACTGAAATTACCCGAAAATTTCTAAATATCGCAAACCGCTTGGTTTTGTAAAACAGCAATACCCCAACTTAAAATAAAAAATTCCGCAAAACCGCATCACTGCAAACGCTCACGACTCAATGACTATTGTCGTAAACGATTTGATTTCCATCAGTTCAAATAATTGGCCCAGTTTAACGACTCATACGCAAAAAATGAGGTATCATAAAACAATTCTTTTTAATAAAATGAAAGACGTTTTAGCATCATACAATAGTTTAAGTTACTTAGCCCTCTCCAAAGAAATGCTAAGGTTATGTGAGGGAACAGCCCTGGAAATTAAGCGGATGTTTTATTGCCTATCGTTTTAATGTCGGTGACGTTGACTTGTCAAACACCAGCATGACCAGTTGACTGATCAAAGGGTGTATGGTGTTTTTGTTACATCACCCCTCATGGGTTACACCATTGGTTCAAACAGATGGATCTAGGAGGGGATGGGGGAATTCCCCACGGGTTCCCATGCACCTCTTTATTACCCCAGATACTCGTTGACTTAAGTTAGAAACATTGGGCCTTAGCTGACCCCCTCCTCTCTACTCAAAAAGGCATGAATTGCCCTGCACTGGACAGTTTACGTTACTCCCTTTAAAGAGTCTTAAGGGGTCTGGGACCCACTTCCAAGGCTTGGAGAAGTCTGCAAACATTGCTTTCATCTACTTTCGCCGGGTTCCTATGTTCCTGGTATTCAGCGTGTGACCCGATGGAGGCCACACGAATGCGGGTACGATGAAACCGCACACTTGACATTTGCGTCAACACGAATTCGGTGTTGTGTATCCGGTTTGGATTCATTCATCTATACGAATACGCTACTGCGATTTACATTTGCTAATTACTAGCTAGTAGGCATGCGCAAACCAAGCCCCCGCTATGACTTCGCGGCATTTTCGAATGCTGTTGCGTTCGACGCTGGAAGAACGCAACTTAAACAGAACGCAAGAAGCCTGGGCACAAGCATTTAGCAAAAAAAGAATCTCGATTTTATTTAGGTTGGTCCAACTACCGGAAATACTTCATAGCCTCCACGGGCAAGGTGGGCGCGCATCTAAAAGGATCAGAATGTGCGCGAATGTTTTTTCTTCCACTTGCAGTTTTGCTCAATTTCTATCAATCAATCAATCAATCAATAAACTTTATGTATCCACGGTAGTAATTAAAGCTGAAAAACATGGGACCTAGCCAAAAAAAAGGAAGAAATACAAAACTAATATAATTATTATCATTCTACAGTAAATTATTTTTTTTAAATACTAAAATATTACAAGTAATTAAAAATTAGTATTTACCTCACAAATTATAATTATACCTGGTTTTTTGAAAACCGGGCTACTAAAACATGTCAGTCTCTTGCACTGATTGGTAATTTAATGCCCCTTCTTACTTGAAAAAGTAAAATATCACCTCAAAAAGAAATTCTTGAATACATGAGCTTCCATTTGATAGAAACGTCTGTCTTGAAGGTAACAAAAGTGAAGCTTTTCTCATTTGTTTGGAAAATAAGGCATTTTTAAGGGACAATTTTTAGTGTTAGCGTCACTGATTGCAAAGCCATTTCCCCAGTTCACCCCATTTTTCATTGCAACTGGTCTCCCGAAAACAATCTAAACCAACACTGCCCAACAAAACCAAGTCCTACAACCACCAAGTTAACTGATGGCTGACTTGAAACATTATCAACAGAGTGGGTCATTCCTTGCATGCAAACAGCACAAACAAGCTGCATAATAGTGTGAAAACACATCAAACTTTACAACAACCCCACCCCCTGAAATTTAACCAGGTTACTGCAAATGCATACCAGATCATAGTCCCGTGTCTGCACAACAACATGACACCCAGCCAGACACAAACCCGCTTCAATTTGAGGGAGACACTGAGCTTAGAAAGACAGGGGTGAGCCCCGGTACAAAAACTCAGCAAAGCCGCACTTTAGCCCAAAGCGTTGTCTTTAGAACAACCTCAACCCCCTGGAATTTAATCAGGCTACCCCAAATGCATACCAGATGATAGCCCTGTGTCTTTACAACAACAGGACACTTAGTTTGACGGAAGCCCCCCTCAAAAAAAGTTAGCGCTCAGTAAGTTTAAACTCAATCCTTATCGGAAGTAAATGCAATGTTTTTTTAATAGGTCTATTACAACTATCAAAAAACGTACAGAAAGTGCGTTATTCTATCTACAAAGAAGAGAATATGGCATGTGTTATCGTTCAATGACCAATGTTCGAGCGCACTTATTAATCCCTGATTACTTCTAGTTGAAGCTATATCTAGCACAATGGTCAGGGCTGCCTGTACGTTGTCCCACCAGGCACTTCTTTGCGCTGGACGAACCCAAAAACTTCTTTTAGGAGGCTCAGAACGAAGACGCTTTACACGCCTTCCCCCCGAACTAAAAGATTCCAGCATCTGGATAAGAATACGTCTTTTTTAATTTGAAATGGGTAATTGTTGTCTGCCATTTTGAACTTGAAAGTTTTCATTTAAGACTGGACCAGAGTTTATGATGTTGTTGGCTTCAAAAATATCTGGTTTCAGAAAAACCCGTTGGACCCCAAAAAATCCATTCTGGAGAGCGGTTTCAAAAATATGCAGTTTTGGTCAGCGGATTTACTGGTTTCGTATGGTCGGAGGGCCGATTCGTATAAAAAGGTATGCGGTTTCAAAAGTATCCGGATTCATGTAGATGGGGCCTGAGATGTTTGACATCACTAAGCCATAAGTGTCAAATGACGTCATTGGAATGTCCCCAAAACTAGGATACCGGGAGGACCACGAGTTTCGATCCGAAGAGTGTTTGTACGCTCCTAATAATCGAAACATTTGCATTTCGCAGTATCCCTGTCAAGTCGCTGATGCACTAACCCATATCCACCAAATAAGAGAGACTGTCTGTGGAAAATCTGCTCTTCCAAGCAGATTTCAGGGCATGAAACCTGTCCGTCCTTCTGAATTATTTTTTCTGACCAGAGTTCGAAGATGTTTTTAGATGACAATCCTTGACCATACCTTTCTTTGATTTGCTAATAAACCTACGACTGGTTTTACAATTTGACCACATTCTTTCGGCTCAAACGCAAACTTCAATCTTCAGTTCTCTTCTCTTCCAGAAAAATTCGTCAGTGACCCTTTCAGCCCAGCCCAGAGTACCATTCATCGACTCAAAATATTCAATTTTATTCTAGAACATGTCTGGAAAATTCAGTTCTCGAAGTATCCCTGACTTATAAACTTGTCCACTTAACTTGATCCGCGCGATCGTCAAGAGACTGCTCGCAGTCTACATTGAGTACCACATCAGTCTTTTGTATATGCAAAGGAAGAAATAAAGATTCAGTGCTTAGAAGCTACTAATAGGGACTTAACGATTCGATAACGGCGACGTCCATGGAAACGTTGCTGAAAATAGACTTCGCAGCCTTTCAAACTATTTCGCGATTATCTTAAGTCGCTCTGTTTCGTAAAAGAAGGGAATTTATGTTAGAGCTGAAGAGAGGGGGACGCGCCCGAGTTCAGACAGAGATGGCGGAATTTATCACCTGCCGTTACCGTTCTCAAGTAAACTGAAAATTTGGTCATTTTAGGTCATAGTTGTGCAGGGATGGCAAAGAAATGTAAAAAAGAGTTATGCACATGCAGAGTTGTTGGTTTGCTCATTAAACCTATTGCCTTTTTGACATTGACTTTGCCGTTGCCGTCGTAGTTTCGTAAGGTCCCTATTAAATATAGTCTGTTTAGCAGCTGCATGATGTGGGCAAGAAATTTAAATATATGCCAAAACACAATCTTTTATTGAACGATTTCAACCAATGAGAACCAAAGGGAAATTTCCCCGACTCTGCTTGAGTTCATGCACGGGTGCTCTGCGTGATGTAACTTTGTACCGGCTCAGTTGCGCGGAACTTTGATGAAGTTTGTCAAAAGATTTCAATGATGTTCACTCCTCGCAGAAGCTTTCAAGCAGCTTTGACAACATATAATTTTCACTTGTTATGGGTGTCCATTGTTACTGGTAAGTGTTTCTTTTGAAAGGTCCAGTTTATATGTTACGTCTTCCTGCAAGCAAGCTAGAGAAATTTGACTCGGGAAAACGATTTCAACACTAACTTGAAGGTTAGCCTGAATAACTTCGCAAAATATCAGACTTCAATGGGGGAATTGCTACCGATACCACTGACAGATAGGACGCTGATACTGAGTAGCAAATCTACCATCTAAAGTAGGCAGCAAGTTTCTTAATTTATGTGGAATAAGTCAACCGATCTTGGTTATTGCGCATAAATTAAATCCTCTTTGCCTATTTGAAGGCGAGCGGAAAGCCTTATACCCGCCTTTCCCCTTTGGGCAGATCCATTTGAAATATACGCTACTGAGTATCAGGCGCTTGAAAGGAATTATGTCTCAAGAAAGTTCGAGGGAAACGTTTTTCTTGAGCCCATATTCCTTTCAAGCGTCTGCATGCTACACAGGCTATTGGCAAATTCGGCCGCAAACAACTTAGGTTGCAAATAAATCCATCCTTTGTCTGTGAAAACGTAATCAACTGAAGTTATGCAATAGTCTCGTCTTATTCTCGCACTAACGGTGAAGTCTGAGAAGAATATTAACAAGTTACTAGTTAAAGAACTTAGATAAAAACATTATATTTATTCAGTTACTTCTTCAACATGCTTCGTTCTTTCTTTTGTTTTGTTCGAGTTTAGACACTGAGTTTAGGTTTCAGAAGCGCATAACTTAAGACGCTTGCTACCCACTTCTAGATTATATTGCTACCCCAGTCTTACTCCAAAATTTATCTAGGAATTCTCTTTGGGCAAAAAGTAATGCTGCTTTTGAAGAGTTTGTTCTCTTCTTATTTAGGGATCGTCTTGTCCTTTCTGGTTTTACGAACCGTTAAATGAGCAACGATGATAATGATTTCCTTTTTTGGGGGGAAAGCAAAAGTGGAATGAGAAAAGCCGGGTCGTTCTACGAAAATCATTCATCTCGGCGACGGCCTGAGATGTAATACTGCATAGTTTACACCATGCATCGACTACCACCGGTATTTGACGAGGCCTATGTCATGATGCGCCAACTAGTAGTCAGCCTTCCTTTACTAGAGTAAAACCTTGGTTAATGTTAGTAACCGAGCAGTCTTGAAACGAAATACTAGTAGTAAGTAAGTTAAAACTTTAAATTTAAGACTTCAATTACTATTAAATCTCCATTTGCATCCGAAATCAAGGTTCATTTCCAGCGGAAATACAGGAAGATACCGCCACGGCGGCCACAGTCCTACACACAGCAAGTCTGTAACCACAACAAACTCAAAACAGATCATTCTAAATCACAAAATCCATTCTGCTGTTCATGTTTTTGTATCAACTGTTAATCAATATCTTCTTTATGTCTCAATTTCAGAAAAACTGAACTTAACCCTTACTCTCAGTTTGTTTATTGCTTTTTAATATTGGTCACGAGATTGAATTAAGTGTCTTAACACAATTGAGTAATTTTTAAAAATGCGGTCCCTGAACCAATGAAAAGCGATTATAATCTTCAGATTCTGGCATTACTCGTCTTACTATGTCATCAAAATGTTTGCGAGAACTAGAAAAATCACCATAGCTCGAAGGAAGATTTGACCCTAGTACTCTTGGACGATCATGTAAAAATAGAAAAAAGATGGTAAACCAGCATAATTAAAGGCGAATTTTGAAGAAAGAAACGCATGCGCACTTAACATCTTTTGCTCACTTCCTTCATTCACTACAAGCAACCAATAAACAGATTCTTATATCGAAGGGAAACTGCATGGCCGCTTGATCGGTGCCCTCGTTTCGCTCGTAATAGTCAACAGTTGTTGCACTTTCACTCCATAGCTGTGTAATTCATGCGGCCTGTTTTTGTCTCCTTGTGTGTTCATTAAGATTATAACGGAGCGCGCGCAGCGTAGCACCGTGGGTAAGAAAATTTGGTAACCTATGCATCCCAGAAATTTTGGTAGTCAAATGACCGTTCGCATTACAGGCACACCAATATAAAATAACTCAAGTAACAGGTATGGCAACCCAAATGCAACTCAAGGTTTCATTTGGAAGGAAATCGCATGTCCGCCCAGACTTTCAGAGAGAGAAAAAACACAGAAAAAAGAACTAAAGCGAGTGATTGACAACAAAGGAGACGAATTTCGTTGGAAGAAAAACATGAACATTTCATAGCGGACAGCAAGGTGGAAATGAGCGTCAGTAAAAAAATAAAAGCTAACATGATCGCACGAAACAAAATCTTTGGTAAGCACATATGACAATTCCTCCATAAAAATATTGTTTAACTAGGAAGTTTGACTAGTAATACTAAGAGAGAATTGACACCAGGTCCTACGGGATTAACTACTTTTGTTTGTGCTGCTGGTTCCCTGTTAATTTAACAAATTTTTCTTTGTCCTCCAACTTATTTTCTTTTAGGTGTTCGAGCTGGAAACATAACATATGTTTGTCCGAAAGAAATGGTCCAATTGGATTGTGATCCTCTACTTGAGCAAGCCATCCAGAGTGGAGATTTCAGGAATCTTTTCTGGAAGGTCAACGATCTTCGCAACAAATCTGAGTTTGTGCTAGCTTATTGCAACGAAAGTCTCATCTGCATCGGGAATGATCATTTGGGAAACTTTGAAAAGCGTATCAAAATGAGAAAGTATCCTGTCAATGGGGTATTAAACGTGGAGCAGTTGATCAAGGATGACTTCCTGACTTTCACATGTCTTGTGCAAAGAAAAGACCTAGTTGTTTATCAGCAAGTGCATCGTATTAATTCTTCCCTAACTTGTGAGTAGAATTTCAAATATCTTATTTCTATCTATTTCTGTCAGTTTTGTCTTAATCCTTTCTACGCCGTTTACTGCTGAGTGGATTATTGATGTATACTAGTAATGCACTCCTGTATATTGTGGGGGTGTTCGACCAACTCGCTTGCCAAGCGAGAAGGTTCCAAGAGTCTGGAATATATAGTTGTTTAGATTTCTTGGAGATGACCGAGTAATTTCAGGAATACAGCTTTGATGAAAAATCATTGTCAAGACATCGAAGATTAAATGAAAAATAGCTGAAGAAATGATGTTATTTCCATTGCAAGCAACTTTATGAGATGAATATTGAAAAATACGGCAGCTATCTAATTAATTAATTCCTGACATCTAAGGCTTAGTTCAACATTGAACGTAAACAAAATCGTCGATTTTCAAACAGCATTATTAGAGGCAATGATTTAATTAATTTTATATTATATGACGATAACTTAAGGACTTTTGACGAACGTAACTTCTAGAACTTTTTAACCGTGCTTTTAATAATCGTTTACGCACGCTAAATTGACTGATGACAGTCGCTAAACTAGGTTTTATGGACGAAACCTTATCCAATTCATGATATTGTAAACGAATACTTAACACTAAAGGGTCACAACTTGATGTTGCGGAGCACGAATTTATACTAATTAGTATGCTTTATTTTCATATGCTGTATTTGCTTCAATTAGGGAGTTTATGTTGGCATCATGCTTTCATAGATATTTTCACATACTAAATAGCATACATTCGTGCTCCGTAACACCAAGTAAGGACCCACTAAAGGGACTATGAGACTAGCGAGACGGAGAGAAGGCGTTTACGGATTCGTGGACAAAAATAATTTTGGTGTGCTGAACTGAAGTTATGGGTGAGAGAAAATCAAAGAAATAAATATAAACCAAGCAGCAAGGCAGAGTACAACAAACTATAATTTTTTTCTATTGGGATAATTTTCAATGACACGTTAATCCAAAATGTCGTCAGTTTCAGTTTCAGTTAATTTTTTTTGCCAGAAAAAAAATACATATGCATACAGACAATCAATATATTACGAAAATGTTATTTAAAGATCAATGAGACGTAAATTGTAAGTAAAAGAATTAAAAGTATTTTTCTGGCGAGGAAGCTCAAATAGAAACCTTAGGGCTTATTGTATGAGCTCCGTCCCTAACCTAAGACTGAATATAATGCACAAATAAGCGGTAAAATCATACTGAAATATAATTAAGATAAAAAGCAAGCAAAACAAAACGGACAAAACAGACAAAAAGCAGCAGAAAACAAGTATTATTTACAAATTAAATGATTAATCAACTAAGAAGAAATGTTACAAAAGACTTACATAAGTAAGAATTAAATCTTTGTGCAAGACCATCTGTCTTTGGATGATAACTGGAAGTATTGACCTTTTGAATTTGAAATATTTCACAAAATGAACGACTTTATTAGATAGAAATGTAATCCCTCTGGCACAAAGTAGCACCCGTGGTGCCCAGTGTCTAGAAATATTTTCATCTACTAAAAGACTTACAATAACATTTGCTTCCACATTTGGCACTGGGAATGCTCCGACCCAATGCGTTAATTAATGGCCGAATTCATATTGGAGACGGAAAACCGTCTTGAACTGGAAACTCCTCCATAGACGAAAAACTCGTGTAAACCGACAGGAAAATGAGACAGTAAATTTGTCTTAGAAGGAAAACCGTCTTTTAAAAATTCACATTGGATGCGAAACTCAAGACGACTCACATCTCACGAAGGCAAGCGAAGAATATTCTTAATTTGCGAGCTAAGCAAGTAAGTAAGAGTACAATCATAAGATCAAAACAGGAAAAAAACCGGTGTGGACAAAATCCAGAATAACTTTGACCTACTTAATGAAAAAACCGAAACTTAAAAGATGAGACTGACAAATCTTAAAAATAACTTTCAAAGCACTTTGAAACAATATACTGACAAAGTAACTAGTAGAGTTTTACCAAAAATATTTACATCGACCTCAAATAACTGTTGTAAATGGAAATATAAGCCACGAGTCGTTCAGTTAATTAGCTAACAAAACAATAGATGGCGTGTTTTGGAAGGCCATTGAAAATATAGGTTTCTGAGACCTTCGTATCTCGGTTGACAGCGACCATCATTCTTCAGAGATCAGAGATGGATCGCAATTAGTCCTCTTTAGATTTGACCTTGTTAATAATGTTTGTATCAGGGAGTGCTAGTTTTGAAGACGAAAACGTTGTAGTACTTTAAGATCGACTGCAGGAAAAGATGTAACCGGATATTATTGTAATTACAGCTTAATAGGCCACTTGCACTAAGATGTCACGTGACCAATGCTTCCTGATACCAAAAATTTACAGAGCACATAAAAGTTATCTTACACCTCAAATTTGAGAGGAAAAGCATTCAAGGGAGATATTTTATGGCACTTTGATTTTTCAACAATGAAGTATGATTTGTTTTGGCCGCCATGTTGGAGAGCATACTCTTGCCCTCCAACATAGCAGCCAAAACTACTTTTTGCTTATATCTTGTTAAACCTTTGATAGTTACGCTCAGATGTACTGTAAACGTTACCACATCATCTTTTCAACATTTTCCTTGAAGATTAAGTGCAAAATTTGAGTTCAGAAAGAGGTAATTCATAATTTTAAAAATCACATCTTGGTCACGTGACCAGCTACGAACTTACTCATTTTAAGAAAATGGTGTGTGTTTGAAAAACCAAATCACTATTATTTTGTTCAAGATCATTCATCGTTTTTCGGAGGCAAAATCATATAACTTTCATTTTCATAAAAAACGATGTCACATGACCTCTTAGTGCAAATGGCCTATTAATGTAACCAATTCCCATGAGGACCTAAATTTAGACCTATTTGATTCAGCCTTCCAACCGTGCATTCTCAATTGAATCTCATATTCACGTATGACGACCTTTTTACCACCTCACCACTAAGAAATGTAGAATACACCTGGTCAGTGACAACCGTACCTCCGAAAGACGTACCCTTTTATTCGTCATTGATGCAAAAACTGACTCTAGTCGCCCTCAATGCACCAGCTTTTTCTCATGTCATTGTATCGTAGTTGACGTTTGTTAAGCATGTAAACTCAATGCAATGGTTTTTCTTTTCTTTCTGTTCTACCCTTGTTTTTATATAGTAACTTTGCGCCTTTGTATTTTTATCTTCTTTCTTCCTAGTAATTAGGAGAACATGCCCCACCATAATCGCAGGCATGCCAAACTGAATAAAATTTTGAGAAAAGCAATAAATAAACTGCTCTACGCTACGCATACTTTAGGTGATTGCTTTCTTTTCGGCGAAGTTTCAAATTGACTAGTATAGTATAAAAGCCCTGAATTTCATGTCGATTGAATACTTTTAAGGGTGTCTAACGTTCGCTCAAAATTGAGTAATGAAAGAAGCGATGTCGCACTAGTTTTGGATAATTTTGTGTTCTGGGATTTCTCACGGTTTCCAGCTTAACACAACATGGAATTCCCATTCAGCACTTATCTGCACAAAGTGTTCTCAGGATTATAGAAACATCACAATAACAATTTGCATGGCTAATTAATTCCTATGGCTTTTTTGTATTTGCTTTTATGCATGACAATGTTTTTGCAATTAGGTGTATATCTGGTTGGCGTCCGCAATGATGTCATCTACAAGCAACACACTTCTCCGTTGTTTTTGAGGCCATTTTGGCTATCAATTTCGACGGTAAAAGTATTTCAAAGAGAGTATTGAAACAATCTGTACCATAAGCTTAAAAGTAAGAGAAAAAATCGAAATAAAAGGACATTAGTCAGCACTGTCACACTTCGCAGACGACTCTTCACTGTCGGCTGTGAGTATCGAAAGTGCGTCTCAGTTCAGCTTTTTACCGTCAAAACCTTGTTATTTTCCCCTTAGACCTACCTTTGAATTCATGGTACACCAGGGTAAGCCCACAATCAGTAACCTGGTGCTTTCCCCACCGATGAATCAAACACTGGTTTCAGCTACATTAGTCGTTGAACCCGAGTTGAGTTTACATGTGAAACTGCCTCCCCCTTTTTTTGGTTGTTGTTGTTTAAGAATAAAACTGAACAATGAATCAAAGAAGAAAAAGGAAAAAAAGAAGTAAGGGTCTTCATGACGGGATATCTGAGGCCGGTCACCGATCCAGTCTCTGACCCCTCCCACACGGATTAACTTGATTGACACTCGTTAAGACGTGGCTCAACCTCGTCTTCAGGGCTTTCTCTTTTTTTTTAAAGCCCTGGAGATATGGCTGAACTGGGTGGCGGTCACCGAGTTTCCCGAGGTATCTCTAGTTAAAAGGAATTAGTAATGTCATTGTAATTGTGTTTTTCAGCTGAAAATTGCCCAACAACGATTGCTACAACTACATCAAAGAGGAATGATGCGCTGTCTCGAATCATCGGGGTCTTTTTCATTGCCATCGTGCTCGTAATAATGTGGCTGGATGAAAAAGGTGAGAAAATAATTCCACAGAAGTTAAAATTAGCTCTTACTCGGACCGTTTTTCTTAACCCTCAAATAAAAAAATAGTGCAGGGCAGTGGAAAATTTAAACAAAAAAAAAGAATTTTCCAAAAGCTCGCCTGGGTTTCAACCTCAAGTTTTCAGGTCTAGCCCGGTTCTACAACAGACATTTCTAACGAACTGTACAGCTGGGCAGATATTTTAACTAATTTAATTTTATGGGGACCCTCACTGGTAAGCAATTTTGCACCTAGTCGCAAAAGCTGTTTAAACCGTCTTGCAGACGTTTGTCGTCAAGAGGTTTGTTACGGAATGCAGAGGTTTATTCGGATCGTGTATGTAACCCACTGTGGTGGCAAAATTGTCAGTTTATTTTTTTGGAGAATGTCAAAGCCACCAGAAAAGGTGGTAAATTATCAAAGGTACTTAATATTTGCGACTCCAGAGAAAACGCGTTCGCATGGGAAAAAGGCGAAGCAAATTATCCATTGATATTTCCTTTTTTAAATGAATCAGAGGAGGAGCCATAATCGGGCTGAGTAAACTCCCCTCGCAGAAGGACCGAAAAAAATGTGGCTTTTATTGGTAGGCAGCAATCAATGTGTTCAGTACCAACCGCATACAATGGTTTGGCTCAGTTTACTTATGAGTAAAAAACCTCTGTCTACTAGGATGTTTCAACCGTGGCACTTTTGAGAAATTTGACAGAAATTACGTCATTTGTATCCTCATTTGCTCGTGATCAGGATATGGAAATTACTGAATGAATGAAGCAAGACAGGGCCACCATTTTAATTAGCCTGCAAAACAGATGTATTTGGTTGGGCACGTTGTTCTTCCTCCATTTTGGATGTTGAGGCCGACAGAGGGTTGTGGCGAGCCAAAATGATTCCAAGGGAGTGGACGACGGGTCTAAAATAGAGAAAGGGGTTAGGGAGAAGAGGGGAAAATACACCTCCACGCAGCCATGGTTCTGCTGACGGAGCCCAAACATTGGATGGACGGGGGTTCTTGCTGGTGCGAGCGAACAAAAAAAAAGATCACGTGCCGCGATAATTTTGCGGGATATCTTGATTGTTTAGGGGTTTACCATTAGAAACGTTATGGGGGAACGTTGGGGAATTTTCTAGCGGCATAATTTTTTTTAACATTTCCTTTATTACTTGGGACAACATTGGCCACGCAAGTCCGTGGCTCGAGCCACCTTAAGTGGCCTGATAAAATTTACGTATAATAATTACCTGAATGTGTAGAGGAATTAGTAAACTCTAAGAACCGTGGTTGTCCATTTGCATCAAAAATTTGGTTTGATTGATTAAGTCGGCAAAGTCAATTTGAAGCTGACGTTTGGAGCACTAGACCCTTGCACCGTAATTTTTAGGGTGCAAAATGGAGTAAAAATTTTAGGTTCAGGATAACCCCTCTTTGGGGGTTATTTTAACTCCTAATTTAACTCCGAATTTGGGGTCATTTTTACTCCTGAAAAAGAGTTCTTTTTACTCCCAGTCTGGAGTTAAAATAATTTCTAAATGGGGTTATTTTTACTCCTTACACGGGTTGTTTTTTACTCTTTTTGGAGTTAAATTTAACTCTGAAAGTGGAGTAAAAATTTTAGGTACAGGATAACTCCTTTTTTGGGGTTATTTTAACTCCGCAATATCCGGGGTCACTTTTACTCCTGAAAAATAGTTCTTTAAACTCCTTTTGGGAGTTAAAGTAACTCCACGAAAAATAACTCCACGGTAAGGAGTTAAATTAGCCCCACTAGAGGAGTTATTATAACTCCTTGAAAATTACTGTGTGTTTAGAGTGAATCCGGTCTGACAAATATTGGCAGCTAACGCTGGAAAGGTCAGCTTTTCAATCTTTTTACGGTGTTAGTTTGACTTTAACGACTGATAAAAACCAGATTTTTACGTTCCATAAACATCCCCGAGGTCTGTAGGCCCGAGGTATGAATAGGGAGATTTGTAAGCCTAATTCTATAAACTGATGTTTTGTTTATTTTGTTTTTCAAGTTAAACGTAAATATTTTCGGCAGTATTATACCCTGTCCTTCGATGACTATGTACAGACAAGTCAATCTCGCAGTTCTTCGGAAAATTTTCTCACAGAGATAAGAGAGGAGAACCCTGCGCAGAACATAGAAACTGAACCTTCGATGGCACTAGAAGAGAATCTGGGGGAGACAGATTTTCAGCTGGCTATTTTGCAGGATTATGGAGAGGAAGAAAGTGCTAAACTGCAGGAACAGTTAAGAGGGAAACGGGAACAAGTTGCTGAATTAGAAAGAGAGCTGAACGATCGAGAACAAGACTACATTAAACTACAAACGGATCTATGTGAGACTAAAGAAAAATTAAATAAATGCAAATCCTTGTTAACAACACGTGAATGGTTGATTTCTCGAGAAGAAATTGAAATTATGCGTGAAAAATCCTTGGGAGAGGGGAGCTACGGGAAGGTTTTTAAAGGCAGATATCGTGGACTTGTCGTTGCAGTCAAAGAACTTAAGTGTTTGTCTACTTCTCAAGAACGTGATCTGTTTGAACGGGAAATGGACATTGCTTCAAGGTGTCGTCATCCATGCCTCTTACAATTTATCGGCGCAACTCAAGATGAAAAAATGCCTTTGTTTGTTACAGAGCTAATGGAATCAAGCTTGCGAAAATTGTTAGAGAAACGGCAACTTTCTGATAAAGAAATCGCTGTCATTTCTCTGGACGTAGCTCACGCTCTTAACTACCTTCACCAAAGAAAACCCAAAGCCATTGTTCATCGTGACGTCAGTAGTGTTAATGTGCTATTATGGAAACAAAATGGCGAATGGCGAGGCAAACTGGGAGACTATGGCACTGCTAAATTTCTACAAGAGATTATGACAAAGTCTCCCGGAGCTATGATTTATGGGGCACCCGAAGTAGGATGTCCCCATAATCAAACTGTCAAGGTTAGTTTCCTCGTTGTAAGTTAACCTGTTGATAGAAATACACAATTTAATGTCCAGTGCAGAGTGAGTTCACTCATTGTTACAAACTGAAAGATGTTTTTTGAATAGCATAATCTTTAATATTTAGATATCAAAGATTTTTATTGATACCTTTAATTTAGTCATAGAAGTGTTTCTATATACTTTCCAAAGGATGCCGTTCTCCTCTTGAACAAAGCCTAGTTTCCTTGATACTTGATTAATTGGCTACCCTTAATCAGAGGGTAGCAAAGGGGGGCTCTTGGTCCCATTTCACGTACAAATTTTTAGTGCTTGAGCACTAATCGCTCGAACACTTTTGAGAGTGCAGGGAGAATATGGACACTCGACGGAGAAAGGTGAAATCCGCTCCGCAGTTTTCCTGGTGTGTGGGAACTGTCATGTGTGAAAGGACTCTTGAGTAGCCCACCAACGAGTTTGACAGACTTTACGGGGATTTGATCAGTTCCAGTCAAATCGAAAAGTTTCCTGACCAGAGCTCTTTAAGCACTTCTCCACCAGATACCCTATGAAGGTTAAAGGGACGCTGCACAATAAATGTTGCAACAACAGGAGGATAATACTCTTTCACTGTTGCAGAATAAAAGAGAGTTACCTTTAACTGGTTTTACTTACATTTAAAGCTTGAACTTGACCTTTTTAAAGTTTACAAGCTACCTGTCAATTAGTCTGTGATGTACAAAGGGAACGCAAGAGTAAGCTGAGAAAGGAGCTCATATCAGAGCGAGCAACTTCCATGTTGACGCGTCAGAGCGTTTTCATCGAGCAGTCTATTTTTAGAACGATTTTGGCTCGAATCTAGAATAGGGAATAGGGAACGTAAACGTCACTTTTGAAATGAGTTCGCGTTTTTTTCAAACTTTTGCGCGTTTATTACAATTCGCTGAAAAGGTAAAATGTAGGCAAATTTTCCTGGAGTTGTTTTCTTGAGGACCCCCATCAAGTTTAGAAAGAGAAAACCCCAGCTAAGACAAAAGCAAGGGAATTTTTTGATTCGCAAGCAAAGTTTGGAATATACTATGTTATTGCTTGTTTGTTGGTTGTGTTTTTTGTGTGAATGGTGGCCAAAAATCGGTGTTTTACGGCACGAAGTTCAGGTGTATCAGGGTCATGCCATTTTATTTTCTTTTTAAAGAGAACTAAATTTTCCTTTCTTTTAGATCGATGTTTATAGCTTTGGTGTCCTCTTGTATGAAATGTGTACAAGGAAATTGCCAGAATTCGAAAATCGAGAAGAACAAGTGAGACTTGTCTCAAACAAAGAGTTTGCTGTGCTGATACTGTGGTGTGTTGAAGAAGACCCAATGATGAGGCCCAGCATGGAAGAGGTCATAAAGAAACTGGAGCAGATTAAAGATGTCGATTCAGAATTGATACGGCTACAGAACTTTTTAAGCGGTAGACTGGCCAGTTAAAACAGTAATATTTCAATCCTCAGAAACGAAATTATGTAGGTTATTCCTCTACAAAGTTATTAGATGACGGGCTGGCAGGGCTCAATTTGCTTTGTCTTTGAGTTGTCCGACCCAGTTTCGTACACAACGTCCTTTTTAGGCGAATCCTTGCCATTTTTTGCCTCTTTAACATGTGCTTTATTCTCTAATGAAGCTATTCAAATAACATCGCTGAACATTAAAAGGAACATATTACCGAATAGTAATTCTCTTCCAAAAACTCGAACGTTTACAAAGAATATATATCAACCAGGAGCCCATCTGTTTTAGCTCATTAAGTGTTTATGCCACCTAGCAATTCCCCAGTTTTGATTGCTGCTATTTCCTTTGTTATTGCTCGCAAAGAACTGAAAATTGCACAAACTGATTAAAATTCCTAGCTCTTTAAACTTTTGAACTTAAGTTGTATATACAGTACGACGACTTCTACGGGTTAACTGGGTTTCGCCGCCTGTAGCCCAATAAGACTGGAATATGGTCCCCAAAACAGTTCCATAGGGCATAGTTGACCTTGTTTTAATACAACCCTAATCGTCCTTTATTATGTTTATCCATGTTGTTCTCATGCTAACTAGTATTTTTTTAGCATATATAATTTTCATTTGAAAAGGAAAGAGGTTCACTCAGAGGCTAGGATACTGAGCTCACTACCGTAAAATAGTCTTTTCGACATTAAAACCGACCTAGTCTTACGTGCAACCTTAAAGTGGCCAATAGAAGGAGTACATTTTTTTACTTACGTGTAATTTAGGTTTGTTTCACCGATCAAAAAAAGAACTTTATAGTGGTAACCCATTAAATTAGCTAATATAATGTTTGCTATGAAATGCTTAATCCTACTCGCAGAACAACTTGAACCTCTATCTAACAAAGTGTTTGACGGCTTGAATTCAACATACCGTAAACGATATAGTTGCGAAACTACGTTAGTTCGTCTGGTCGAAGACTAGAAGAGGTCTCTTGACAACAACCACACAGTTGGGGTTTTATCTACTGACGTGAGTAAAGCTTTTGATTGCTTATCCCCTGACCTGCTGCTTTCAAAGCTTCAAGCTTCTGGTCTATGTAGCAACTCCTTGGCTGTTCTAAAGTTCTATTTTACTAACAGGAAAAACAGGGTGCGACTAGGCGACACCTGTGGAGAATGGAAAGCAGTCAAACGCGGATGCCCCCAGGGGTCATCACTTGGCCCAGTGTTGTGGAATTTTTATCAAAATGATCTGTTTTGTGAAAACATTCGATCTCAACTGAGTGCTTACGATTACGACCACCAAATATATATTTCGGGTGAGAAGATCAGCCCCTACACTCAGTAACTTTAAAAAAGGCATCAGAAAGACAGACATTGCCTCGTTAATAGATGACTCTTGTAACGACTGTGTCCTTGTTAGCGTTAGTTCGCCTCACCATTTTACTCTTTTTAGAGTTACTCAATTTACGATTCAGAGATATTATTAGGTAGTTATTTATTAGAACTAGAATTTAGAGTTTAAATTATAATTAGAATTTGCAATATATTACTAGAGTTTTATATATATGATACAGTCTCCCCAATTAGTAATGCACTGTGCCTGAGCTATAAGACATGAGACTTAAATAAAGTTCATCATTATTATTATTATTACTTACTTGTAATTAACAGCTTTTTCGTTATACAGATTATTTTTAGCAATATCTATTTTGTAGGACGCGATTACGTAACTTTATTTTCGTAGGTCATACCTTATTATTCAATACATAATAAATAATTGAATTTTGTATAGAATATGTTTCCTATTCAGGACTGGTTGCAGTTTACTGGAGGTTTGGAGCTTTGGATCGAGTATAGAGTGGCGTTGGGTAGAAGTTGTGAGAATGTTGTGGTAAATGTAAATAATCAACGTCATAACAATGCCTTTAAGTAGTTTATAAATATTTCGTGGCTCTGTAGAACATATGTTTAAGGTTAAATACATTATCCAAACAATCAGTGGTTATAATTACTTACAAAACTGTATGGATGAGAAAGGTATAGTCCCACAACTTGAGACCGGAATATATTTTAGCAGAGACCTGCTCTGATTGGTGAGAAACCTACTTCGACTTACTGTCGTGCAGGATTGCCCAGTAAAATGTTTGTTTCTGAATTTCGAATGGTACAGCGTTTCCTTGGCTTAAATAATTGGCTCCGTTTCGCTAAAATGACGTAAATAAAACCGGCTTTTTAGCATCATGCAATAAATTAAGTCTGAACCCTCTCCAAAGAAGTGATAAGGTTATAAATATCTGAGTAACAATTGAGGCACTGGCCCTAGAAATTAGGCAGACAAAAATTGTTCAAAGACCTATAAGCTTTGACACATCACCCTTAAAGGGTTACAAAATTGGTTCTGCAAGCCCATACCCGCTGTATGGGCGAATATAGGAGGTGAAGGGGAGAAATTTCCTTGCGTTCACATGCACCCCTTTATTACCCAAGATACACCTTGTGCTCAGATACAGACGCTGTATCTCAGATGAAGCCAACCCCCCTTCCCTTCCAATAAAAATTCTACAACCGTTTCGGCACTGGACAGTGTCTACATTGGTAGGATGCTCTGCCTTAGGAATGTAGGATTGCAGAAATGCCATAATTCAGCCACATAATGGAAAATAGTATTTCTGGCAAAAGACTTGTGATGAAGCTGTCGGCGAGGGATAAAGTGATTACTGGGTACATTCTTGGATTCCGGATTCCACGCACTGGATTCCAGTCTTTGTCAGTGGAACATGGGATCCGGATTCCAATCGTTGGTTGGATTCCGCATTCCAAAACCCAGGATTCTGGATTCCAGAAGCAAAATTTTCCAGGATTCTGGATTCCTGACTCTCTTCCCTTACTTGGGGTGACTTGCATGGTTATTGAAACGGTACGAAACTGATATTTAACAATTATTCCTCGAGCCCGAATGGGCTATTGACTGCCATGATGGCGTGAGGAATAATTGTTTTAGTAAAATCCAACTAGTTGGTCAAAAATATCGAGACAAAACAACTTTAGCTAGCAAAAGGCGATTCAGCCGCTATTATTTTGGTTTTCAAAGCCGGTGTTTTTCGCTACTATTGGACTATAACATATAGCCTAGTAGTAGCTCAACCAATCAGAACGCAGCATTCATAATAGACCACTAGTTGGATTTTACTAAAAGGAAATATACTGTTTCTCAGCATGGTAAACTATAATAGCCCGTATTTTAAAAAAGACATTTTATTGCATGTATAAATATAGCAATTACTTGATGAGGCCGGCATGATCTGAACAATTATGTAGATCGAAGGGGGTGTTACCCGCCTCGGCCTTCAGTCAACACCATCCGAGATCTGCAAAATTCTGATCTTATCATGCGATAGCCGAATGTCTCATTATTCATTTAAAATTATTCATACTTAAAAACTTACCTCGATCGATGTTTTAATGATCGATGATCCTCGGCAAATTCAGGATTAAAGGGATGTTCTATCTGGCATAAATCCTGTTAATAGCAGTTATCATCCCGTCTTGGTTGAGTACTT